TTCCTTTTAACATTACATCTGAACTTTATTTTGGCTAGTAACATAACTTAAAAAAAAAAAAAAAAGAAAATCAGCTGGGTGCGGTAGCCCACACCTGTAATCCCAGCACTTTGGGAGGCCGAGGCAGGCGGATCACGAGGTCAGGAGATGGGACCATCCTGGCTAACATGGTGAAATCCCGTCTCTACTAAAAATGCAAAAAAATTAGCCGGGTGTGGTGGTGGGCACCTGTAGTCCCAGCTACTCAGGAGGCTGAGGCAGGAGAATGGCGTGAACCTGGAAGGCGGAGCTTGCAGTGAGCAGGGATCACACCACTGCACTCCAGCCTGGGCAACAGAGCAAGACTCTGTCTCAAAAAAAAAAAAAATTCACCTTTTAGTTGGTGTTTGCAAATTGCTTGAGCTGAGGAGTTCAAGACCAGCCTGGGCAACACAGAAAGACCCTATCCAAAAAATTTTAAAAATTAGCCAGGTAAGGCTGTGTGCACCTGTTGTTGTCAGTCCCAGCTATTCCATTAAAAAAAAAAACCCAGAAAAAAAGAAAATTCAAAGTACTTTCTCTCTAAACTCTAAGGATCATTTCATTATTTTCCAGCTTCTTAAAATATTTAGTCAGTCTGTTATCAATCATACCACTGCTTCCTCTTTTCTCTAGTAGATTATTGGTATTTCATAACCTGCATTTTCATATCAATGTATCTAGGTATGAATTTGTTTCATGTTTTAAACTAGTGTTCACTTCAAAATGTTCATTTACTTTGGAAATTATTGATTCTTCCTCCATTTTCTCCTTCTCAACCTCTTATTAGACGTATGACAGGAGTTCTTAATCTATCTCCCATAGTTGTTAATTTTTTTTTTTTTCCCCCAGGACAGAGTCTTGCTCTGTTGCCAAGGCTGGAGTGCTTAGCACAATCACAGCTCACTGCAGCCTCGAACTCCTGGGCTCAAGTAATCCTCCCACTTCAACCTCCCGAGTAGCTGGGATTACACACGCATACTGCCACATTCAGCTGATCTGTTTTGTACTTTTTGTAGAGATGGGAGTTTCATCATGTTGCCCAGGCTGTTTTCAAACTCCTGAACTCAAGCGATCTACCCACCTCAGCCTCTGAAAATGCTGGGATTATCGGCGTGAGCCACCATGCCCGAAATCTTTCATTTTCATATCTTATCCCCCTGAACTGAATGCTGGAAGATCACATCTACCTTCCACATCTGAAAGATAAATCACATCCATCATATCTGTAATTCTTTCTTCTACTAGGTCTGCTATCCAACTTACTCACTTTTTCTAATTCTAAACATTTTATTCTTTTTCAAATCTATGTGGCTTGTTTTATTAACACCTTAATCTTTTTTTTTTTTTGAGACAGTCTTGCTCTGTCACCCAGGCTGGAGTGCAGTGGCTCGATCTCGGCTCACTGCAACCTCTGCCTCCCAGCTTCAAGCTATTCTGGTGCCTCAGCCTCCCAAGGATCTGGGATTACAGGTGCCTGCCACCTCGCCTGGCTAATTTTTATATTTTTAGTAGAGACGGGGTTTTGCCATGTTGGCCTGGCTGGTCTTGAACTCCTGACCTCAGGTGATCTACCTGCCTCGGCCTCCCAAAGGGCTGGGATTACAGGCGTGAGCCACCGCGCCCGGCCAACACCTTGATCTTAGGGTTGATTCCTTCCTTTAGGTTTTTTTTTTTTTTTTTTTTAAACAATTTTAAACATAAAAATATTCTCTCAGATAATGTTAGAGGCTTTAATCCTGTCATTGACTCTCATTTCGGTGAAATGTTTCCTAAAGCTCTGCAATTTACTATGAACACATCTTTTGCAAGGTTTGCTTTATCTGAAATTCCTTGTCATCTAAACTGTGAAATGTCCTCCAGAAAATGTTTTTGATTTTTTTTTTTTGAAATGGAGTTTCTCTTGTTGCCCAGGCTGGGGTGCAATGACACAATCTCAGCTCACCGCAACCTCCACCTCCCAGGTTCAAGCGATTCTCCTGCCTCAGCCTTCTGAGTAGCTGGGATTACAGGCATGCGCCACCCTGTCTGGCTAATTTGTATTTTTAGTAGAGACGGGGTTTCTTCAGGGTTAGTCAGGCTGGTCTTGAACTCCCAACCTTAGGTGATCCACCCAGCTCAGCTTCCCAAAGTGCTGGGATTACAGGCGTGAGCCATCACGTCGGGCCGTTTTTCATGTGTTTAACAGAAACACCAAGAGTATTACCAGCCCAGAAACCATTTTTACGTTAATTTGTCTTAAGGTTTCCTGGAGCCTAAATGTCCATGCTACCCTGTTATCTCTTATATTGGTACTAAGGTTTTCTCCAGTTCATTCCTTCACAGAATGTGCAGTCCTTCGACTCCATAACACATTAAGTCTACAATTTGTGTTAAGAGTCTCAGTTCCCATTACCTGTCATTAATGGTCCATACGTTTTATCTCTGGTCCTTATGCAGTTACTTGAGCAATAAAACTCAGGTCTCTAAAAGAGGTGTACACCTTCCTCTCCAGTGTAACTGGCAAGTTAGCTCTTTGCCTACCATGCTGCCTCCTACTTCATTTTTGGCACTGGGGGTTTGTCCTTAGTTTTCGCATTTTAAAAAATCTTTGTAGATAGATTTTCAAGTTAATCGTGGTCTGCCATACTGCCAGAATGAGAAGGTATCTTGACTTTGTAATTTTATGTGTGTAACTAATCTGAATTTGTAAGGTGTTAGATAATTCACATTTGTAAACAGTATCTGAATATAAGACTCTGACTTATAATTTCTACAATTTTGATTTATTGATTACTTAAGTGCTTATATTTTATTAGGTTTTTTGGAGTGGTTGAGTCAATTGGGTATATTAAACTGGATATATCAAACATATGTAGTCTGGAATGTTTAAAGGACTTAACTAAAATTATTAATGGCATTAGTTGTTTTGGGGGATTTTAATAAACATGCATCAAAGAGCAAGTCAAAAGCATTATTTTTATACAAAGTCAAAGGTATTATTTTTATACACTTATTACAAAACATATAAATAGTATACCAAGCCTAAGAATATAAAGTCTAGCTTTAATTAACTGAATGTTAATTTAAAAACACACATCTAATAAGTAGTCCTTTTCACACATCGAAAAGCCAATTTCGTATTAAAAAAAAAACTCAAATTACAAAATAACAAATATCTGGTGTCTTAGTAGCTTCAAGATCAGTACTAACGATTAAGCCAGCTTATATGCTAATGATACATGAAAAAGCCTGTATTTTACAAATAGCAAACCACTAAAACTTTAACTTTCCACAGAAGCCATTGTTTTATATCAATAATTATGTTAAAGATCAATACAAGCTAAAAGTTTTTAATGAGCAGTGAAACAAACCATTAAAACTTGGTAAATTTCTCCACAAGGGTAGAATTTTAATTTCTGGTTAAACCATGGGTAGATTACGACACACTCTGTGAGGGTGTACTGTAAGTACTTCTAAGCAGCTTTATCAGAATTCATCCCAAATTATGTACCTAGTAAAAGATATACCAATGTCTACTTTGGAATAAGAAATTATTACTTATTTGAACAAGGATTAAGCAGAAACTGAAAGAAGTGCAGTTTATAGCCTCTTACATAAAGTAGATGGGCACCCCTCAAAAACAAACCAATATCCTGGCTCCTTAAGTATCAACATTAATCTAAGTAATGTACAGCATGCTCCTGTCCAAACGTTCCCGCTAAGCTGTAGTCTTCTCAGATCGATGCTTCATTTTGATCACACATTTCTATCCTGCAAGACTGGGTACCTGGGTTTTTTGCCTGGTTTTATAACACTAGGCAGGTTTGGCCTTACTCAAAACACAAGACTGCAAAAGGCCTGTTTCACCTCAACCATATGGTTTCAGGAAATGTTCTGTATTTCCAGCAGAAAAGAGGTATCTAACTCTCATGAGGGTTTCTAGCAAGTGGATAGATACCTGGGTCTTTGCGGCCTGTGATGCAGCCTAACAGTAGAGGACCCTGTGTGATTAGCTAGGTCTGCTAAAGCAGGAGGACATCCATGTTCTAGACTTTTTATTCTGGTTTAGCAGGATCCAAACCGGCTGCCCTGAAGAGACTAATGCCTCTCTTTCTCTTCCACACAATGGGTGGCCTCTGCCAAGTTAACTGCTTCGTGGGAGGAAAAAGATTGCCTTTCCTTCGGTCTGCATGTTTTAAGGTAAATGCCACATACACCTACAGGAGCTTCTCAATAATAGACAGACAAGGCTCACTTTCAAACTCTTTCAGGAGATAAACTGGAGGGGAAGACGAATGGCAGGAAGGTGAAGAGGAAGCTGAATTACTAGGAAAACACCCCCAACTCCAGTCCGGGTGGTTACTGCAGAGTGAATAACGATAAGTACGATTTGGTGTAAGGCAACGTCCTTTGAAAGGGTTCCCAGAGCTTCAAGGCCCCCACCTGATGAATGGGTGAGTCAGGCAGGCCCGGCTCCACTTCACGGATGGGAAAACTGAGGTACGAGGCGGCGAGATGACTGGCCCGAGGCCTCGCTGAAAGATCCGAGGCGGAGCGGAGAACCAGAAGCACCGCTTCTCTTAGGCTGATGCTCTAATCTCGGCTCCCCCCGCCCCTACGATGGCGTAGACGACCTCCGCCCCCCGACTCACACACACCCTCCCCCGGGAACGGTAAGTCTCCTCGGGTTCCAAGGACAGGGTCAAAAGACAAGAGGCCCGAGGCGCTCCCGCCGTGATTTGCAGCCGGAGAGCGTTGGGAGCGTGCGTGCCTCCAGTCCAACATGGCGGCGGCAGCGGCCGCCCCCCCACCCCAAGCCTCCCTCAGGGCCGGAGGCTTCTCCTCAGGGCCCTCCAGTGGGCGGGAAGACAGCCCAACCCCGCCAGGCCCTTCTCGTCGCTGCCGCTGCTCGCTGAAGGAGTCACCTACCCGACATGACTAACGGCCGCGGCGCGGAGGCCCCACAGCCCGCCGAGAACAAGGAATACGAAAGCCAGGCGGCGCGGCGGCCGGAGCTGTACTGAGGGCGGCGCGGCGGGCTGAGGCGGACTGCGGCGCTCCGGCAGCCAATCAGCGGACAGCGGGTGGTACCACAAAGCCGCGGCAGGAGGGGTGTTTCTGCGTTGGTACTAGCTGCCGAGCCCTGAGGCCTTCTCAGGCCCCTCTATTCCCCCCTCCGCTAGCCGTACCATTATTGAGAGGGAATTGAGAAGAGAAAGTACCAATGCCAAGATCACGATCGGGGAGGAAACGGAACCTTCTCGCTCCGTCTTATTTACAATCCCATTTCTCACTTTAGTGGGTCTGATGGAATTTGCGGTTAGGAAACGAAAGAGGAGGGACCTTATAAACACAGACTATTTGGTTATGCAAAGCTTTTCTTTCCCTACAATTTCGAATGGTACGTCCTAGCTGGCGTGCTTTTGCTGCAGAGTGCTTTGGGCCACCTGGGGGCGTTCGGAGTCGGCGAGCTCGGGGACAGCGAGTCGTGACCAGCTCGCGTACCTCATCGCCTCCCGGTTTGTTGTAACTGTCTCGCCGAGTAGCAAACAAGGATGCTGGAACAAAAGGGTGCCTTAAGACGAAATCGTACACAAATCTGACCCTGAGAATGTGGCGGGGCAGAGGGATCGAGCTTTTATTTTCAGCACTGTAATTATAGCTGACTCTTGTCAGGCACCTTACATCATCTCATTTAATTCTCACAACAGACTGATGAAATATTTTCCCCATGTTGCAGATGAGAAGACAGAATTCACTTGACCTAGGTCGTACAGCTAGTAAACGGCCAAGGCGGAATGTGAAGCCTGGTAACCCGACGCCATTGCATGTGAGTTTAATCAAAATGCTGCACGGCCCAGAGGGGTGGGCCCAAGGCCGCTTGGGCTCTGTAGCAGGAAACGGGCTGGAAAAGCTCAGAGAGCCAACAAAGACTTTTTCCGGGAGGGCATGGTATCTGAGCCAAACCGTAAGTGATGTGCAGAAGTTGACCGAGTGAAGAAGTGAGCAAAGTACTTTGCAGACTGGTTGTGGAACAAGTAGTTGTTCAGAGGGAGAGTAGAAGGAGATGATGCCCGAAAAGGAGGGGGTTAAATAGCTGCGGCCTTGTCAAATGCATTAGAGTTTGCACTTTATCTTGAAGGAAATGAGAACCACTCACCAGATTTAGTAGGAGAGGAGTTATATTAGATTTGTATTTTCTGGCTGCCAAATGAAAAATGCACGGAGATGAGAGGTGCTTAAAAGCAGAGACCAATTAGGTGGCCAATGCAGTAATTTTGGTGAGAGATGATAGTGCCCTGGACTTAGGTAGTAGCTCCGGAGACAGAGGTAAGTGAAGCGATCCCAGAGATACCCCGGGGTAGACTAGACAAGAGCTGGTGATCACCTGGGTTGGAGAGGGTAGTGGAGAGAGAAGAGTCTGGGGTGAATTCTGGGTTTTCGGCGTAGACATGGGGTCCCGGTGGTAGTGTCATTGACTGTGATAGGGAACAAAAAGAGGAGCAGGTTACAATGGAGGTGAAAAGGGAAGTTCAGAATTAATGCTTTCAGGTCAGAAAAAAGACATGAGGTCATCTCTCCACTGTTATACCAGCAGTGATTGTGCCCTCAACTCTAGATAAAAAGGGTCACAGAACACTCTAGATAAGTTCAAACAAGCAAGACTAAAGGAATTAGAAAGTATTTCATGACTGAAAACCATTAAACTGTTTAGCATATATATTGAGGAAGGCAGCCCAGCAGAGAAGATGGGCATGTCCAACAGAAGAGAATTGGGTTATGGAGGGGAGGGGAAGAGGTAATTCTAGAAGATCCCTAGAGGGTTGTTCTTTTTTATTTATTTTCTTTTTTTGAGAATTTTTTCAAAGAAGGAAACACCAAAAGTGTTACTCATCGACTCCTTAAGTTTGTACCACCATTTATTCATTCATTCCTCCTTCAATTGCCATCTCTGGAGGTTTACTATGTGACAGGCTCTGAAAGGCCTTGGAGAGACAAAAATAAGAAGGAGAGCCTCTGCCTTCCAGGAACTACAGTCTCATAACAGGAACAGTGTGAACCTGTGATTTCTTTTTTTTTTTTTTTTTAACTTTTATGTTAGGTTTGGGGGTACATGGGAAGGTTTGTTACACAGATAAACACATGTAACAAGGATTTGTTGTACATGTTACTTCATCACCCAAGTATTAAGCCCAGTACCCAATAGTTATCTTTTCTGCTCCTTGACCTCCTCCTGCCCTCCCCACTCAAGTAGACCCGAGTGTCTGTTGTTTCCTTCTTTGTGTTCATAAATTCTCATCATTTGGTTCCCACCTATAAGTGAGAATATGCAGTATTTGGTTTTCCGTTCCTGTTCGTTTGCTAAGGAGAATAGCCTCCGGTTCCATCCATGTTCCAAAAAGTTTCTTGTTGTCTTCATAGTATTTGTTTCCGTATTTGCCTTCCCCTACTAATGTACCAACCCTCACATCATTTGCCCTGAAAAAAGTCTGTAGATCATCTCAGAGGTTGCCTGTCTGCTGACCTGCTGCCACCCACACGTCAGGACCTGCACTAACTCCATCTTGTCCTGCCAAACCTGTCATTTCTTTTTTGTTTGTTTGTTTTTTGTTTTTTGAGACGGAGTCTCGCTCTGTCGCCCAGGCCGGAGTGCAGTGGCCGGATCTCAGCTCACTGCAAGCTCCGCCTTCCGGGTTTACGCCATTCTCCTGCCTCAGCTTCGTGAGTAGCTGGGACTACAGGCGCCCGCCACCTCGCCCGGCTAGTTTTTTGTATTTTTTAGTAGAGACGGGGTTTCACCGTGTTAGCCAGGATGGTCTCGATCTCCTGACCTCGTGATCCGCCCGCCTCGGCCTCCCAGAGTGCTGGGATTACAGGCTGGAGCCACCACACCCGGCCCAAACCTGTGATTTCAATCAACTGCTGGATGTGCTGGGATTGGAGGATGCAGAGTGTGCTCTGAAAACACAAAAGCAGGACACCTTGCCCACACGAAGGGTGGGGGTATCAAGGAAGGCTTCCTGCAGGAGATGCCCCCTAAACTGAACTTTGAAGAAAGTACAGGAATTAGGCAGCAAGGATATACTAGGAACATCATGCTCCAGGCAGAAAGGGCTGTATTGGCAAAGATTGGTAGAGAGCAAAGATCTGGGAATTGCAAGTGCTTCAGTCTGGCTGGTCTATGGAGTTGCAGGAGTGAGGAGTTGTAATAAATGGAATGAAAGAAGTAGGCAGAAGCCACCTTCCAAAGAGCCATGTGTGCCTTACAGAGGAGTTTGAACATTAAATCTAAAACAATGGGGAACTTCTGAGGAATAAAATCAAAGGACTGACATTATCTATATCCATTATTTCTAGAATGGGCCTGTGAAACAGGTAGTGCTGCTATCCACATTTGGTCAGTTAGGACACTGCAGCTCAGGGAGGTGTAATTCTTGAGCAAGTTCACAAAGCTGATGAGAACTCATGCCCAGGCCTTTGGATAATGCTCAGTGTTCTTTTCGCAGTGTCCCTGTTCTCCCACACTTGATGCAAAGAACTCCTTCCAGGTCTGCATTGCTCTGGGGCCTCTTTCCAAGGGTCCTTCTCTACCACAGACTGACTCATAGATTGATTCCTGTGCCCTCCTGTAGTGGAGTGATTCCACTGGAATGGTTGTCTGCAACAAACTTCTGCCATCACCCAGGCTTTTTTTTTTTTTTTTTTTTTTTTTGAGATGGAGTCTCACTGTTGCCCAGGTTGGAGTGCAGTGGCATGATCTTGGCTCTCCACCTCCCAGGTTCAAGCAATTCTCATGCCTCAGCCCCCCGAGTAGCTGAGATTACAGGTGTGGGGCCACCACACTCAGCTAATTTTTGTATTTTTAGTAGAGACAGGGTTTCATCATGTTGGCCAGGCTGGTCTCAAATTCCCGACCTCAGGTGATCCACCCGTCTGGACCTCCCAAAGTGCTAGGATTACAGGCGTGAGCCACCGTGCCCAGCAATCACCCAGGCATTCTTCATGCTGCAAGATCCTGCTCCCTCTACATCCTCTCTCCTGGCCTCAGTCTGCATATTTAGGGAAGACAGCAGGTAGATTTTACACATCAGTTTTAGCAGAATGTATCTGAGAAAGTCTTCAGGCCGGGCGCAGTGGCTCACGCCTGTAATCCCAGCACTTTGGGAGGCCGAGGTGGGCAGATCATCTGAGGTCAGGAGTTTGAGACTCTCTTGACCAACATGAAGAAACCCCATCTGTACTAAAAATACAAAATTAGCCAGGCATGGTGGCACATACCTATAATTGCAGCTACTCGGGAGGTTGAGGCAGGAGAATCGCTTGAACCTGGGAGGCAGAGGTCGAGGTGAGCTGAGATGACGCCATTGCACTCCAGCCTGGGCAACAAGAGTGAAACTCCATCTCAAAAGAGAAAAAAAAAAAAAATAGAGTCTTGGTACTGTGCCTGTTGGCCCTGGATCCCTTCTTCCTGTCGTCACAGGGGAGCAGACCCCTACAGGGTTGCCTTGTTTCAGTTTCAGAAAGTCCCTCTGGCGGTATCTTTCAGCTTGAATTGGCCAAGGAGAGACCTGGTGGGAAATTAGGTGGAAGAAGAGAGGAAGAAAAGAAAGAAGAGGGTTATCTCTCCCCCTCCCCCTCTGCCTCAGGGAGGTCTCAGAGCTCCAGTTTCCATTGGTGACCCTGGCTCCTTGGCCCTAGTAACTTGCCTCCTCCCTTTGTCCCCCCACCTACAGCTTATAGTCATCTTGCTATTGATCGTTTCTGAGTTCCCTCCATCCCCTGCTTGGCTTCCCCTAACCCTTCTACCAATGGTATAGGACCTTGTAAGGGCATTGTAAGGATTCACTTAAAGGGGAAACCATTAGAGGGAGCCATTTGAGCAGAGAGGCCCAGCAAGAGCTGACCTGTTTTGCCAGGATTACTCTGCCTGCTGTTTAGAACATAGACTCTAGAGGGCAGGGAAAGGTTATTGCTCTGACCAAAGTAAAAACCGGATCATGATGATTTTTTGCTTTTTTTGAAATCCTCAGGAACTCACAGTTGTACCGCATAATTCAAGGCTTGCATGCCTTGCCTGTTTGCTCTCTAGTTGGGTTGCATAATTCCTTTCTGAACATCCAGCTCCCAGCACAATGCCTGAAACAGTAGGCATTTTTTTTTTTTTTAGACGGAGCCTCACTCTGTCACTCAGACAGTGCAGTGGGGTGATCTCAGCTCACTGCAGCCTCCGCCTCCCAGGCTCAAGAGATTCTCCTGCCTCAGCCTCCCAGGTAGCTAAGATTACAGGCATGTGCCACCACACCTGGCTAATTTTCTTTTCTTTTTTTTTTTTTTTGAGACGGAGTCTCACTCTGTCACCCAGGCTGGAGTGCAGTGGCTCGATTTCGGCTCACTGCAACCTCTGCCACCTGGGTTCAAGCAGTTCTCCTGCCTCAGCCTCCCAAGTAGCTGGGATTACAGGCTCCTGCCACCGTGCCCGGCTAATTTTTGTATTTTTAGTAGAGACGGGGTTTTACCATCTTGGCCAAGCTGGTCTTGAACTCCTGACCTCTTGATCCATCCACCTCGGCCTCCCAAAGTGCTGGGATTACAGGCGTGAGCCACCACGCCCAGTCTAACACTAGGCATTTTTAAAAAGGAAAAAACAATGGCATGTAATAAATGAATAAATAAATGGGGGGAAAAAAGGAGCATGACTTGTCTTTCTGTCTTGTCTTTAAACTCCTCAAGCTCAAAGGCCTTATCTAGGACTTCCCTATGTCTCCCACGGGGCACAGAGTAAGTGTTCAGTGAGTGTTGAAAGAACGACAACCACCTGGTGCCAGTTGC